GAAGGAAGGAAGGAAGGAAGGAAGGAAGGAAGGAAGGAAGGAAGCCGGGCAGTGGTGGCACACGCCTTTAATCCCAGCACTTGGGAGGCAGAGGCAGGCAGATTTCTGAGTTCGAGGCCAGCCTGGTCTACAGAGTGAGTTCCAGGACAGCCAGGGCTACATGGAGAAACCCTGTCTTGAAAAAACAAACAACAACAACAACAAAAAAAAAAAGCAAGCAAGCAAGCAAGCAGGCAGGCAAGGGTCAGGACCTTCAGCCTTTGACTGTTCTTTTTCATAGACCTAGGCTCCTTGAAAATTTTGTATCACTTGGAAGGCCAAGCTAAGTCACAGACTAGACAATTTTTTTCCTCTAAGATCACTCAGTAAAACAACCCTGAACATCTAACAGTGCTATCACTTTAAAAATATGATATACATTGTATATGGATGGATCACAAGGTAATGAAACAGTGAGCCAAGCTAGGTAACAAACCCACTAGCTCACACACTTATTCTTTGTGGTAACAACATTTGAAATCCATTCTGTTGGTAGTTCTGAAAGATACAGTGCCTTATTTCCTTACCTTTCTATGTACCTGTTACTTTGGTTCAAAATATAACAAAGTAGGGAGATGTCTTATTAGAGACAGTGGGTCATCATCAGCTACAAATCTTAATTGGAAATTTTTAAAGATTAAATGTTTGTTTCCAAGGAGGAGTTCTGAACCCTTAAAACTGTTCAGTTTGCTGTATTTCTCCTCTATTTTCTTAAGGAGAAAGTTAAGTTTGGTGTGTGGGTGTGCACCTATGATCCCAGCACTAGAGAGATGTAGGCAGAAGGCTCAGGAGCTCAAGGCCATCTTCTAAGACTCCTGTCTGAGGTAGCCCAGGCTCTAAGAGGCCCTGAGAATCTACAATGTTGCAAGCATGCCCTAACAGTTCTGGGACAGAGATGACTCCAGGTTGAGTCCTTTAAAATGTTTTCCTCCTCTTCCTTCCCTTTAAGTCCCAGTTACTCCATCACTTCCAACCACAAGAGCATGCTGGTTAGAGTACAGATTCTAACGGCACGGAGTGACTCATTTCTAATTCTAGTACTTGGGATGCTGAGGCATGAGGAGCTATCATAAGTTTAAGGTCAATATGGTTTATAAAATTAGTTTAAAGCCGGTTTGCAAAAACAGAATGAGACACTATCTAAAAAAACTAGCTACCTTTATCACCGAGTGCAAGCATTAGAGCTGGAATGCCAAGTCAAAATCCACTTTTCCAACAACTAGCTCTATGGCTTCAACAAAGTCATTAAATTCTCTAGGCCTCAGTCTGTCAGTGAGGATACAAACAGAACGCACCTCGCTGGGTTGTAAGGACAAGGACAACACATAAAAGTAGGCAAGTCCAGACACACGGACACAGTAACCACAGCTGTTCTGTTTCTGTTTCCAGCCATGCACTCTTTCTACATTTATGTCACCTGATAAAAACCTGGTTTACTCCTTCTCCCCAGAGGCCTCTACATCTGAGGATAAAATGCCTGAGGTAAAAGTAGTTTCTACATAGCAGCATTTAAAGCTCTCATATGACCTTTGAAGCTACCCTCTAATATCAAAGCATTAATTAAAAAAGAATTTTGATAGATTTTTAAATGTTAAATTATTTTTTCTTCAGTTACATTTGTTTGTTTGTTTGTTTGTTTGTTTGTTTGCTTTTTGAGAGTGGATTTCACTATGTATCCCTGGCTGGCCTGAAGTTCAGTAAGACTGCCTGGACTCAAGTTCATGTATCTATCTGCTTCTGCTTCCTAAATGCTGGTATTAGAGGCATCCATCACTATGCCTACTACACTTAAATTATTTAAAAAAAATATTTTTTTAATGTATATGAGTTTTGCCACTATACATGTATGTGGCCCAGGATCCAGAAGAGCATCAGATCCCCTAGGATTGGAATTACAAACATCATATGGATGCTGGGAACAAAATCCTCTTCCTTTGCAAGAGGAGCAAGTGCTTTTAACAGCTTAGCCATCTATCCAGCCTGGAAATTTGATTTTTTTTTTTTTTTTTTTTTTTTTTGGTTTTTTTTGAGACAGGGTTTCTCTGTGTAGTTCTGGCTGTTCTGGAACTCACTCTGTAGACCAGGCTGGCCTCGAACTCAGAAATCCGCCTGTCTCTGCCTCCCAAGTGCTGGGATTAAAGGCGTGCGCCACCACCGCCCGGCTGGAAATTTGATTTTTGAAGTTAAATTTTATCTCTGTTCAAATGACTTCATTTTTGAATACCAAACTACAAGCCAAGTTAGGATCATGGAAATTAGAGGGAAAAGGAAATAAATGACATGGATTAGTTATATTGGTATAAACCAAAATGGCTAAATTATTATAGAAACCTGAATTTTAGATAAAAGTTAAGGACTTCTGAGTTCCACCTCAAACTTACTTAAATAGAATTCACACAAGGAAGAACTTGGAACTGGACCAGAATTTCTGACTGCAATGATAGCTTGTCTTTCCTATGTATTTGGGATAAGTCTGAGTTTCAAACTCACCCCCACTGCTAAAGAATATTTTTATATCCTGAATTTTAGAAGTAATATGCCCTCATATACACTGGGCACACAAGCTCTAAAGGGCATTTGATTCCAGTTTGATTCCAGAATTTTGTTATAGCAAAATTCTCTTCATATGCAACTCAGGATGCACAGACTAGAAACACACCATCAAAACAGTAAATTAACTCTAGCACTTTGCTAATATTTAAAATTGTCACTAGAGAAATTATACACTGCCTGAAAATATTATTACCTTCAGAACATATAAGTGTAAATTTTTGTTTAACAAAAAAATTGCTTAAAAAATAAAAATGACAAAAAAGGTCTAACTTTGTAAACTGCATATCCAAATACCTTAATAGACCTCTAGTCTATAATCAATAATTGATAGATGAAAGAGAAACATAAACATATTATTCATCCTTAAAAGGAAGGAAATTCTAGCTGGGCAATGGTGGCACAGGCCTTCAATCCCAGCACTTGGAAAGCAGAGACAGTTGGAGCTCTGAGTTTGAGGCCAGCTTGGTCTACAGAGTGAGTTCCAGGACAGCCAGAGCAGACAGAGAAACCCTGTCTCAGGAAAAAAAAGAAAAAAGAAAAAAAGAAAAGAAAGAAAAGAGGAAATCCTGATACATGCTATAAAGAGAATTTGCATATGTATATGTTTTTTGACTATGTACATAATCGTATAGCCCTTTACATGAAGTTACATGAAGTTTTTAGAATAGTCAAATCCTCAGACTAATCTCACAAAATCAGAAAGCAGAATGGAACAGGTTAGGGGTGGTGAGGGTAAGGGTGTACAGGGAAGTTTTGTTTAGCAGATATGAAATTTCAATGTGGGAAGGCAAGAAGTCAGAGACAGATGGGGCTGACAGTCACATAAGTTCATGCACATGATGCTGCTCAGTCATATTCTTAAAAATGCTGTAACAGCCGTGGGACATAGTTCAGTGATAAAATTCCTCCTAGCATACACAAGGCACTGGATTCAATCCACAGTATGGTGGATGGAGGAGAAGGCTTAAGGCTGGGCATGGTGGTTCAAGTCTTTAAATCTCAGTACTTAGAAAGCTAAAGGTCACAAGTTAAAGGCCAGTATGGTCTACACAGTTAAGACTCTGTTAAAGGGCCGGGCAGTGGTGGTGCACACCTTTAATCCCAGCACTTGGGAGGCAGAGGCAGGCGGATTTCTGAGTTCAAAGCCAGCCTGGTCTACAGAGTGAGTTCCAGGACAGCCAGGGCTACACAGAGAAACCCTGTCTCAAAAAACCAAAAAAAAAAAACCAAAAAAAAAAAAAAAAAGACTCTGTTAAAGGAAGAAGGGATAAATGGTACATTTTATGTTAAGGATACTTACTAATAGATTTAAAACTTAACAAAGGAAGGAAAAAAAGGAACTTCCGGAAAAGACAAATTAGCAGGTGCTTTTTTTTGCAGGGCAGGAGAACTGACTTCCCATAAAAAGGAAAGAGAAAGTATACGACAGGTCTGATGAGAAGCAAAATGCTTTTATTTTTTAATTTTATTTATTCAATTTTTTGGTTTCTCAAGAGAGGGTTTCTTTGTGTAACCCTAGCTGTCTTGGAACTCAATTTGTAGACCAGGCTGGCCTCAAACTCACAGAGATCCGCCTGCTTCTGCCTCCTGAGTACTGGGATTAAAGGGGTGCACCAACACCGCCTGGCAAGATGCTTCTTTTTTAATATCTCTTAATTTGTCTTTGAATTAAGTAGCAAGTTCCCCAGATGAGTGAATAAAAATAGTGGGAAGTAAAGAGAAAGAGAGAAGACTGGAGGCAAAGACAAAAGGAAGAAAGATTGAAGATGATTTTTAGACACTGGGAAATCAGGTGTCTACCTGAGATAAAAGCATGAGTGGATAAGTAAAAATTATGATTTGATTTTAAAAATATAAAAAAAAAATAAAATTAAAATAAAAAAATTTTCCTCAGACACCAAAATTCTCTAACTTGAAACAAATGGAAAATGTTTTGTGTTTTGTTTTGTTTCCAAATTACTTGTGTTAGATATATGATGGAAAAGACACAGCTGCTGGGCATATGATCCTGGTCTTACATTTGTTGGCTGTAACAACTCTGGGCAAGTTGTCGGGAAAAAAAAAAAAAAAAAAAGCATGAGTGGAAACAAGAATGAGCCAGTGTAGTTCTGTGCTGTTCTAGTACAGGGTTACAGTGATAGGGAGCAGATGGATGATCTGGGCTTAAGTAAAGTTGTGGGTTTATTGTCAAGTAGATTGAGAATATGTATAGATAAGTGGACAGTTGGATTCATGGGAGAACATACTCCTGCTGGCAAGTATAACACTGGAAAAGAACAGAGAAAGCTAACATTCTCAAGGTCTGACTACAGAAATAGATGATGACTTGGGAGACAAAACATGCGGTGCAAAAAAGACGCTTCCTTTCTACAGGAGTGGACAAACACCTAGGGCATTATACTCAACTGACAGTTAATGTCAAACTCTGCATTTCCCTTATTTCAGTCTCTTCTTCCAGGTTTGTATACTGTACATATCAATTTTCCTATTGAGTTTCTCCACAAATGCCTGAAGGCATAACAACAAAAGATATGCACACATCTTAGAGGAAAAGCTTTGTTGGAGGAGCAGTTGTTTGTTGTTTTTTTTGAGATAGAGTCTGGCTAAGTTCCCAAACTAAGAGAAGTTTTAATCTGAAACCCAAGTAATTTCCCAACATAAAGGTGACGGTGAGACCCAAGCAGGCAACAGGCAGCACAAAGCACACCCCACACCAATCAGCACGCAGTAAACATTAAAGCAGATTGTTAAAAAGCAGCCCAGTTTTACAAATACCTTAAAGTTTGTTCTCCTGGCTCCTGCATCTTGGCTTTTTTCACCTGTAAACATCAGCACACGTAGAAATCAGTGCAGCAATCTGACTCTGAAACCCCAGTTGTTCAAACACACTTGTTTCTCAGCATCTCAGGTGGCGGGCTCCAGGGACCCTCACTATAGGAAATTCTGTAGTCTCTAGTCCTTTATATCACCACACATAGTTCTGATGTACTTTAAGCCATCTCTCAATGGCTTATAATACGTAGCACGCTATAAGTACTATGTGAATAGCTGTCATACTGTATTACTTAGGCATGTTATTACACGATATAAGTACTATGTGAATAGTTGTCATACTGTATTACTTATACTGTTATTACACGCTATAAGTACTATGTGAATAGCTGTCATACTGTATTACTTAGGCATGTTATTACACGATATAAGTACTATGTGAATAGCTGTCATACTGTATTACTTAGGCATGTTATTACACGCTATAAGTACTATGTGAATAGTTGTCATACTGTGTTACTTAGGCATGTTATTACACGATATAAGTACTATGTGAATAGCTGTCATACTGTATTACTTAGGCATGTTATTACACGCTATAAGTACTATGTGAATAGCTGTCATACTGTATTACTTAGGCATGTTATTACACGCTATAAGTACTATGTGAATAGCTGTCATACTGTATTACTTAGGCATGTTATTAGGAAATGGGAATGTCTGTAGAACTTGTGTACGAGAAATACCCTCCGCCTGTTACAGCCACCTTCGGTTGGTTAGTTCACATACTGACACTTGGCTGAGAAGGTTGACTATATGTTAACTAATATGCTAGTGTTTCATTTTGTTTTGACCTAAAATGTCATTACACAAAAATGTGAAACTTTTGTAATAATAGTTACTTGCAATAAGCCAATCAAGAGGTTGAAGAATCCCAGGATGTCACGCAGACTCTGATAAAGAATCTAACACCAGTATAACAGTGGGAGAAAGAGATGTAGCCCAAGTAATAAGGAAAACAATGTTTGAAACAGAAACTGTAAACTGAAAAAAAAAATTTCAACGACAGTTTATTTATTGCCTGCCATAATTTTAGAAGAGAAAAAATTTCAGCTATTCTTAAACCACCAGATTTCACCTTTAAATACTATCCTCTGGTTTTAACTCAATTGAGAACCCCAGTATGGTAACATATGGATTTAGTCTTAGTGCTGTGGGGGAACAGAGGCAGGTGGATCTCTGAGAATTCAAAGTCAGTTTGGTCTACAAAGCAAGTTCTGAGGACAGCCAAGGCTATACAGAGCCTGTCTAAAAACAAACAAACCAAAAAAAAAAAAAGAAAATGAAAATTATTAGTCTAAGTTGAGATAAAACAAAGATAGAAAATGGATAGGAGGAAAACATTAAATATAAAAACATAAAGAGGCTACTGGACCAATACAGATGAAAGATGATGCCCTAAGTAAGTTTCAGAGTAAACTAAAGGCCACAGCTGGACTGTGCTGGTCTTGGATATATTTCCCTATATTGTCCACTTCATTATAATTTTTAAACTATGTGCTAACTTTAGGAATTAGATGGGAATGAGTTGCTAAACCCAATTGCTTGAGACACAAAACATGTACACACACATATACACTTGAGAAATCTGATAACAAATGAAGGGGAATGATTTCATCAATTTAAAGCATTTTTTTTTTGTCCCTTAAACACATGGGGGCATAAAGCCAGCATTCTTTATTCATAGTGTAACATGGCAAAACAAGAAATAAAATGGTAGACACTCTCTCCCTTTTTTGTTTTTTGTTTGTTTGCTTATTTGTTTCTGGACAGGGTTTCTCTGTGTAACAGCAATGGCTATCTTGGAATTTGCTTTGTACACCAGGATGGCCTGGAGCTCATTACTCACAGAGATCCACCTGTCTCGTCTCTGAGGGCTGTAATTAACAGCATGTGCCACCACACCTGGCTAAGTAGACCCTTTTTATTTTTTTGGATGGTCACATCTAGCAAATAATAATACCAGGTTGCACTTAATTAACAAGGAGGGGAAACCAACAAATTACATATAGTTTTATAATGTTATCATAAGCAACCTTACAAAATACAGCAATCCTATCTACAGGTGGAGGACTCTTTCTCTCTGCTGGTGTAAGCCTCTACTTGAACAGAAAAAACAAACAGTAACTAAACCTAGGAAATACCCAAAGGCGAGCTCGGAGATAAAGCACCTGCTTAACATGAGCAAGGCCCTGGGTTGAATCTTTAATACTGGAGACAAGAAAACAAAAACAAAACAAGTAAGAAAACAACAACCACTACTCCCACAAAAAAGGGGGGGAGGGATAAAAAGAAAGAAAGGAAGGAAGGAAGGAGAGGGCTCACAATTTATAGAGCGAGCATCCATGAAAAAACAATATTATTATTACCTGGTGCTTTGAAGAATTTGCCAATATTTTAGTATCATATAGTCATCTGAGCCACTCACTCTAAAAGCTGAAACTGTTAACATTCCTACCGAATACCACATACTTTTCTAAGGCCCTCAGTTTTAGGATGCAGTTAGTGCGCTGACATTACAGGAGCACAGGTCTGCAGCCCCACACCCACTCCTTCATCCCTCCTGCCATCGCTGCTGAACAAAGCAGCAGCAAGTAAGCAGCAGAACTCTCTGCACCTGTTTCAAACGTCTCTCATTCACTGAACTTTTTCGGTAGATAATCAAAACTGCTCTGATAATTATGGTTCTAAGTCTCAGGTCAACCCGACAACTGATTACGATAGTACAGTAGTCCTTGTAGTTTAAGGTCACCTGGATCCCAAACTGGGATTTTTGTCTCAAGGAAACAAGTGGGTTTATGAAGTAAAACTTCTGAGTCTGGAAGGTCAGAACTCATTTACAACACTGAAGCCGGGTATGGTGGTGCACTCCTGCAATCCTGGCCCCAGGAGCTTAAGGCGGAGGCTCAGGAGTATCAGCCAGTCTGGGCTTCTTAGTGAGACACTGCCTTCAAAATAGAAAGAGGGACCAGCTGGGGAGGCTATTCTTTATACTCTACAGACTACTCCCCTTCGTGGAAAAGAAAGACTAGAAATAAGAGCTGACTCGGTCGTTCCTTCTGAACAGTTTGTGGCAGTCACTTGTTTTATCATATTTGGGATCTGCAAATATGTCTACTGCAACCTGTGGACAGCTGGTCTCCTGAAAATGAACCACTTACTCTAAGTATTTTCTTTAAATGGTAAGTACTCCATGTTTTCTTAGATTCTGCACTTGTCTACTTGGCATCTACCAAGTAAGGAACCTGCCGAGAGGACAAAGCTGTTTGTATTTTATCTAGAATCCAGAGCTTCCTTCCCTCTACCTAATTCAAATATTCCTTCTTTAAATACTGTTTGAGACAGGGTCTCATGTACAAGTTATGGAGCCTAGGCCGAGCTTGAATTCCTCATGCTCCTGCCTCCACTTCTCAAACGTCTCCATTAGGGTTTCCATTGATGTGAGATAAATGCTGTGATCAAAAGCAACTTGGAAAGCAAAGGATTTATTTCATCTTACACTTCCAGGTAATAGTCCCTCACTGAGGGAACCCAGAGCAAGAACTGAAGCAAAAACCACGGCGGGTGCTGCTACAGGCATTATAGATGGGAGTCATTTTCTCCATCGTGGCTCCTCTGCCCAGAAGACTCTAGCTTCTGTCAAGTCAGCAAAAAACCAAATCAGCACATCAAGTGCTAGGACCCCTGGTCTGCACCAGCTTGGCTGACCACCCTGTTTTCCCTGTTCTAAATCACAAAACAGCCTGCTAGAATTATTGTAACAAGTCACACCATTTCTGTCTGCCTCAGTCTCTATGTAGAAAATCTAACGAAGCCCATGGCCATGTTTCCTCGAGTACTTTCTGCCTCCTTACTGACACCGGTACTGACCTGTCAGGTATAGTGTGCCTTTTTCAAATGTTCTGACGTGCCCATGTGTTCACACGGTTGCCCCGACACATTTACACCAGGAGCACAAGCAAATAAGAAAGTGACTTTCTATAACAATAACCAAACAACAGACATCCTAGGTTTAAAGTGCTTCAGTGTCTTACCTTCCTCTAATATGTAGGCTTTGCATAATGCTATAGAAACTGAACAGAGCGTGAAGGCACGGAAGCAGAGTAGAGAGATGAGCCGTTAGCAGGTTAGTCTCACAGTTCTATTACTTTACTTAGGTAGGGGGTAACTAATGAGTCCCATTTCAATAGTATGTTAATATCTACATAAGTCTTTGAATTTATGAATAGACTTTTGTCTTACTAAACTCTCAATGGCGCCATTTTCCTTGGTACATTTAGTACCTATAGTTCAACTGTTTGCTAACAGTGCACATCCTATATACACTGTTCAAGATGATTTCAACACTATTACTCCCCTGATTATTATGAACTCACCAAGGACAGGGAATCACACTTAATAATTTCAAAAGGTCTTTTTATCAGCTGCTTGTGTCTCCCTAACTTTTACATTTACCTTGACTGAGAGGGTTAAAAGAACAGCAAAGTAATCATGAGTATACAACACTCAACACAAAGAAAAGGCAACGCTCATCTGGTAACGCTGAGTGTACCAAACAGACTCCTTAGCATTAAGGCAGCCAAGTTTGAGTTTAACAACACTAACATGTCAGGCAGAGCAGTGCACATTTGTGATTCCAATCTGAGAGGCTGAGGTAAGAGAATCGTACATTTAAGGCCACTGGAGACTGCATATAGCAAGACTCAAATACCTCAAGAGCAAAACAAGAGAACATATAACATTGCTTTCTTAGAAGGAAATTACTAAGGAATCTGTTCTTTACTCCCTTTTCTAATTTGGATTCTATACATATAATTGAGTAATATTCAAAATTTCTTCAGATTAACTTTTATACAACCAACTTGAACTTGAAGGAAAAACTCACCGGTTGCTCTGGTAGGTCTTGCTCTTCTTCCATGAGGACCTCTATCCCTTTACACACTTACGTGACTGGACTGAAGGTCTCTGCGGTCTTCACAAACTATTTGTAAAAAGAGAGGAATCAAAGCTTTATACACTTGTAAACTATTATCATCAAGGTCATCACAGAATAACTTTTTAATATTTTGCTACTCAAGCTAGCATTCTACGTTAGTTCCAATCTCAAAATCTCAAACTTGCACGTGGCTTTTCAACACTGACATGCTGTTCCAAGTCATGAGAGCTGTACACCCTGACTTCTGTACGGCTCTGCGAAAGCCAACACGTGGAGCCACTTCTACTGGTTACTATAGTGCCTAATGCATTAAACACTTTACAATGACAGTCATGCGAAGATAATAAAACAATTTTTTTTTAAGGATTAGGGTTACATTTAAAATGATAGAGACTGGCCTAGCAGGTCAGTAAGTTATGATAACATCTAACCTGCTTTAATGTGGAACATTTACATAACTGTTAACACAGACACACAGAATTGCTTTAAATAGGACAAACTGGAAAATCAATTAAATACATCACAATCAGCTATCTATCTATATGTAATCAATTTAAATGAAAATATAACTCTTCTGGATCTCGATAAGGCAAATAAACAGGTAAAGTGAAACCTTAAATATGAGAATTAAGGAAAAATAATTATGTAAAGTTAGGATCCAATTTAATCTGAAATAATGAACTTCCACTAAATATACTAGGTGATTATTTAAATAAATCTTTACTTTTCAAACCCTCTTCCTCTGGTCCTAATTTTTAAACAAAAGAAGACAACCACCACCTTTGACCTGCTAACAAGGATACATTATAAAAATGAAATACTCCATTCCGACTTAACCGAGGCTTGCCATTTCCCAGAGAAATGCTGCTTAAGTCTCACCTGTATAATTTCTCCTACCAGCTAGTGAACGAAACTTTACAGTTAAAGTAAGTTTAGACTTCTGCTGCAGCAATAATGTAACGAACAATAGATGCAGAGAAAACCAAAGCCTTTGTTTCTGCTGGTGTCCACTCAACTTGTGTGGCTCTCGTTTGTACAATATAATATACGGCTTAGAGCCACACATAAAACCAGGAAAAGGACAGAAAACAAGTTTAAGAAATACAAGCAGATGAAAAACTTTAACAATTAGATGATAAAGCTTTACTCTTTCCTCTGCTCTTAAATGTCAAAAGAAAACCAGTTTAAAGGTCAGAAGTACTTGATGCTCAATTCACTCACGTGTAGCTCATGCAGAGCCTCAAAAGCTGCGTTCCGAGTATGACGCAGACAACCTGCACTGCGGAATTACAGGATGCAAAATGAAAGCTCATGGCTACAACCTTCCCCAACTTGCTTTACTAAACACAGGAGAGTATGAGCGAGGATAATCTATGTGACCATGAAACTGATCTGTAACTGTAAAAAACAAACACTTTTTGTCTTACAACTTTATGATTACTTTAATTAAAATCTCTGATTACTGGACTATGCAAGCGTACATTAGTATATATATGCCTTCAGCCCATTAGAGCAAACAAAATAGATTCAATCTATTAGAGAAACAGAGCATCTTCACTCTTTAGTTGCTGACTTTGAGTCTAACCAACACAGAAAGTGGTAACACTTCATGGTTTCTCAATCAAGAATATAAATGTAAAAACTGCAATCTGAAGTTTTTTTAAGAATTGCTCTCAGGGGGGGCTGGAGAGATGGCTCAGCGGTTAAGAGCACTGACTGCTCTTCCAGAGGTCCTGAGTTCAAATCCCAGCAACCACATGGTGGCTCACAACCATCCGTAATGAGATTGGATGCCCTATTCTGGTGTGTCCGAAGACAGCAACAGTGTACTCATAAATAAAATAAATAAATAAATCTTAAAAAAAAAAAAAAAAAAAAAAAAAAA